AATGACAAAATAGTTTCAATATTTCAGATTTCTGTAGTTTATTATTTATACTTAATTAATATCATAAAATTATTTACTTTACAGTATAAATTTATATATCAAATAAATAATATTCAAATTTTGCTTTACATTGATGCCTTTCTAAGTTATTTTTTAATATATATTTTAGTGTATTATATCTGTTGTAAATTGTTCAAATTATAAATAATAGTAATAATTTATAAAGGTTTTAAAATTTGATTAAATTTAAAACAAAGAAGAAATTTATCGAAGATTTGTAAAATATCTTTTATGAAATTAGAAAATAATAAGAAAAGATACTTACATTTCTTTTATCTTATCCATTTGAAGTATTTATGTAAATGTAATTTGATATTTATTAAATTCTCTTATGAGAAAATCTTTTAATAGAAATAAATAAGTTTTTTTTATGAATTTTGTACTTATATGCACATATGTAAAATATTTAAGTGCTATGATTTATCTACAAAGAGAAAAAATAGATTTATTAACTAAATGAAACATTTTTTCCTATAATATTAGAATATAATTGATTATTTCAAAATAAATTAATCATTTAATTTAGCTTTATTAGTTGATTAATAATAAGACAAAAAACAAGCACAAAATGATAAGACAAAAATTAATATTAATGAAATAAATAATTATTATTTAATTCAGCATTTAAATCATATTTTATTTAAATATTTTTTTATAAATTTATTAACGTAATGAAACATTTCTTTTACATACCTATTGTACTTGAAAGGAATTGATTTACTTCTATATAAATTATTCATTTAATTGTTTAGATTTATTATTTAATTAATTGTATACAATGATTTTAATAATTAATTACATAATTTAATTTTAATTTAATTAATTTTTGCCTTATTTAATTACTTGAATAAGGCAAAAATAAACATAAAATAATAAGGCAAATATAAATATTAAATAAACAATTATTATTTACTTTAGCGTTTAAATTATGCTTTAATGAAATAAAGAATTACAAATCCAACATTATATTATACTCATCATAAAATAAAATAATGAATTAATGCACGTAATTACAACTTTAAATAAATAAAGTCTCTTATTATCTTACCGGAAGAATATTAATAATTCATCAACCTTAAAGTGATGTCACAGAACACATTTTTATTTTATATTTCCCCAAAGTGAACAAGATTTTTTTAACAGTATTTCTTCTAAAACTCAACTGAGAAATTGAACTTATAAGCACTCGAGCGACGTCGGAAACTGGAAGTAGTTATTATGCATGCAAGAAGCAAACACAGTCCATAGGGAACCGTATTAATGGAATTTGTGGCTGCCTGCGAATAAAATATTATTTTCTTACGGCGGCCCTTCGTTTGAAGAGAGACTAAAAATACTAATCCGAAAGTTAAATATCTTTTATGTTTACTTTCACCCTCAAAAACAAGTTCGAAGCTTTGATGCATTTTTTGAACTTATCGTTTGGTAATGTTCGATTCCGTTCGACATCGAACAGAACTTTTGTAAGTTCCAAACGTTTATTTCCATTGAAAAAAGTAACTCTTATTTTTGTTTAGCATTATCAGTATTAGAATTTATAAGTACTCACAGCATTTTTATTTACAATAAAAAAAAAGTCTTAAATAAAGTCTGAAATGAGTCTTAAAGTACAGTCAACGATTTTTACGAGTTGTATATTTTAAACAAATAATAAATCATAAATTTAAATCGGGATAATTAAATCGTTTTGTGTGTTTAAAAAGAAATTATTTTAATATTTTTATCGAATTTTATAAGGATCTATGAAAATTAATTTATTGAAATAACAGTAAATTTATTTGTTTTGTTTTGTAAATTTGTTTCGTTGTAAAGACGTTGTATATTTAATAGCAATTCATGATATTGAGTCGTTTTATGTGTTTAGAAAGATGTTGGTTCAATTTTTTATCGAATTTAATAAGGATCTATAAAACTGATTGATTTAATGAAATTGTTTAGCTCTTTTTACTTTGTAACAAAACTGTTATACAATTGTTGTGCTATTCTCATAATAAATATTAAAATTATTAACAATTGTTTGTAAATGAAGATTATAAAATTCAGTAAGGAATTTTTCAAAAGTAACATTATAAATGACTATTTTCATAACTATATCTGTTTCAAATTGTATGCTTGATTTTATTTGACTTGAATTGTATACAAACAAAGCATCATTGAATATCAGAATTCTTATATATTAATCAGACGTATAGTTTTATAAAAATACAAGAATTTTTTTCTTAAATTATTTATTTTAATTTTATTAATTTTTTTAAATTGATTTTTAACTTTATGGCTATATACGGGCTGCTGCAGTTTAGTAACCTCATTTATGTATTGCCTTTTTTCAACAATCTAAATATTACACTACTGGCAATTAAAATTGCTACACCAGGAAGAAATGCATATAACAAAATGATATTTATTGGACAAATATATTACACTGGAAATAACAAGTGATTAAATTTTCAAGTAATTTGGGTGTATAGATCCTGAGAGATCAGTACCCAGTACAACCACCTCTGGCACTTATACGCCTGTGCATTGAGTCAAACAGAGATTGGATGGCATGTGTAATTACAGATGCCCATGCAGCTTCAACACGATGCCACAACCAATCAACCGTAGTGACTGGCGTATGGTGACAAGCTAGTCGCTCGGCAACCATGGCGCTATGCGTACGTTCAGTAATATGTATATAAGGGGTGGCTAACCCGCGGCCCGCCTTGAATATTTTTCCTGCTCGTAAAATCACACTTTATCAAAATTTAATTATTTTATAATGGCCAAAGTAGTGAAAGCCAATATATTAAAAAATACATTATGTGTGTATCCATATATTCAAAAATAAACTGCCGAAATTATGAGAAAAAATTTACTTTGATTTTAGAATAATATTCTTGCTAATATATGACAGATATTGCCTGCTTTATTTATGACTTTACAGTTATGAGTTCGCAGAATAATTAAATTATATTCTGCAAACTCCTGATGCGCGTGCATTTTAGAACATCTAATATAACAGATGTTCCTTTTAAGTGACCTCAGTGAGGCAGTGACCATCCCTAGATAAGCACAATTGATTACCTAAATTGACATCGATTTGCAAAAGCTAATTGAAAGAGTGGAGATACAAATATTGCACTAATAAAATAAATATTTTTTAATGATTTCATTTTTTTTTATTTCGTTTATATTTATATATTTTTTATATTTCAGTTTTAGTGTTATATATTTCTTTACAATGTGCGTTTGGTATCATTATTATTATATTGTCTATGTTTACACGTAAGAAAATTAGTAAATACAAAAATAATAATTCATTATGTTTAATTTTTTCACTTCAAAAAATGTCTAAAGTGGGCTTAATCTAATAAGGGGATTTATAATTCTATATGCGGCCTGCGGAGCTATGATGCAGCTCCAAAGTGGCCCCAAGATCATTTGGGTTGGCCACCCCTGATGTATATCCTGAATGTGCTTTACTTTTTAGGCTTTAATAATCACGTTCTTTTAAGTGTTTAAATTTTTTTTTACATTTGTGATTTAATTTACTATTTATTAAAATTTACTAATAATATTTTAAAGAAATAAAGAACGAAATTTTTATTTAGTTGGAAAGATTTAAAACTATACTATCCAAAGTTTTGTCGGTGCTTTTACTTAATCTAACATTGTAGTTGTAAATTAGATTAAGAAAAATGTGTATTATATTTATTTAGATCAGGGGGTGAAAACCCGCGGCTCGCCTTGAGCATTTTTGCGACTCGTGAGATTTATCACACTTTTACAAAATATAATTATGGCCGAAGTAGTGAAAACCAATATATTAAAAAGTACATTAATTGTGCATGCATATCTTCAAAAATTAATTGTCGAAATTATGAGAAAAAATTAACTTTGATTTTAAATTAATGTTCTTGTGAATATAGGACAGATATTGCCTGTTTTATTTATGAGTTTACAGTTATGAATTCGCAGAGTAATTAAATTATAAATAACAATTATGATAAACACCAATTGCAATTACGATCGCAACATCAATTACGATGTGTAAATATCAAAACTGAGATCGGTTTTCAAACGCTAAGGGAAAGGGTGGAGAAACAAATATCGCCCTAGTAAAATAAATATTTTTACTGATTTAATTTTTTTATTTCATTTATATTGATATATTCTTTTATATTTCATTTTTAGTGTTATATATTTCTTTATAATGTGCGTTTAGTATTATAATTATTACATTGTCTATGTTTACATTTAAGAATAATAGTAGATATAATAATAATAACTCATTATATTTCAATTTTTCACTCCAAAAAATGTCTATAGTGAGTCAAAATCTAATATGGGGATATATAATTCTATATGTGACCCGCGGAGTTATGATGCAGTTCAAAAGTGGTCCGCAAGATCATTTGGGTTGGCCACCCCTGATGTATATCATAAATGTGCTTTACTTTTTAAGGCTTTAATAATCACGTCCTTTTGAGTGTTTAAATCTTTTTTTTTTACATTTGTGATTTAATTTACTATTTATTAAAATTTACCAATGACATTTTAAAGAAATAAAGAACGAAATTTTAATTTAGTTGGAAAAATTTGAAACTGAACAATCGAAAGTTTTGTCAGTGCTTTTCCTTACTCTAACATTATAGCTGTGTTGTTGTTGTTGTTGTTTCTTATCCCACTTGGCTGGCCAAGGCCCACGAGACCATACGTATTCATGGTTGAAGGGGAAGGAAGCAGCTTCTGTTGTGATGGAGAACCCGTAGGTAGAAGTCTGACTTTGGCTCCGTGACGCTCTTACGGTCATAGGAGACCGGGACCTACGGCTTAAAGTGGATTCCGAACCACTACAAACATCCATGGCACCGCCGGGATTCGAACGCGAAACCTGTGGCACCGAGCGTCAGAGCACTAGACACTCGGCCATTCAGGTCCCAAATTTGTGAGTGCCAACGGCACGCGGTGTTCTCGGCACGCGGTGGTCACCCACCCAAGTACTGACCGGGCCCAATGATGCTTCGGTGATTTAACGAGAACCGGTATATTCACCACGGTATGGCCGTTGGCACATTATAGCTGGAATAGGAAAAATGTGCATTATATTTATTTCGTTAAACACAAATATACTCTAATTATTTAAATCTACAAAAAACATAAAGATTATTTTACACAATGACTAAAATGGCACCAGTTTGTTTAGTAATTACGACAAAATTTACTATTAAAAAAGAATCGAGAATAAAAAGAGTTCGAAAAAAAAATTGAAAGTAAAAATAAATCTGTTATCTGGGTAGTAAGTTTATCTCATTTTTATTCAAACAGAGAGAAAAGTAAAATAGAAAAGTTGCTAGTTCTCATAAAATATTTAATCTTATTTTGGGAATTTATATAATCTTCGGATAGTTGTTTTTTTTGTTTCAGCACATCACAAAAAAAGAACGTTGAGGATAAAAATAGATTCTTTTTTTTCTCCTTCTTTCAATAAAATTTAAAAACTCGGAATATCCTTTTTGCTGTAAATGCTATATTTAAACATAGCCAACGGCCGTACCATGCTGAATATACCGGTTCTCGTTAGATCACCGAAGTTAAGCATCATTGGGCGCGGTCAGTACTTGGGTGGGTGACCGCCTGGGAACACTGCGTGCCGTTGGCAAATTTGGGACCTGAATGGCCGAGTGTCTAGCGCTCTGGCGCTCGGTGCCACAGGTTTCGTGTTCGAATCCCGGCGGTGCCATGGATGTTTGTAGTGGTTCGGAATCCACTTTAAGCCGTAGGTCCCGGTCTTCTATGACTGTAAGAGCGCCACGGAGCAAAAGTCAGGCTTCTACCTACGGGTGCTCCATCACAACAGAAGCTGCTTCCTTCCCCTTCAATCATGAGTCCATATGGGCTCGTGGGCTTGGCCAGCCAAGTGGGATAAGAAACAACAACAAACATATTTAAACATAGGTAAAGACTGATTTTTTTTTCTGCTATTTAAAATCTCGTTATAATATTAAAGTGATTCTTTAAAAACTTTTTGTTTTTGAAGTGAAAGCTTATGTTAATGGCTGTTAAGGATTGAAAATTTATAACACGATTTTTATAAAATGGATTTATTATAGCAGAACTAAACATTTTCTTTTTAGTGGTGTATTTTAATCAAACTTCTAATAATGTAGAACCACGTGAAAACGATACGGTTTAAATAATCTAGATTTTTAAATTTTATTTTTTTATTTTAAGAAAACTAATCATAAAAATATATAAAATTTTTGAATGAACACAACTATAGCTCTTGAATGATCAGGGAGTTTTACAACTCTCTTATCCGCAATACTTTTTGCTAATTCTTTTTTTGGAGACTGGTGTATATATGCCTTTATTTTTTTATGATATATTAAGGATTCTTGATTTTGCCACAGTTATTAGATTAGTTATTTAAATTCTAATCTAACGTAAACATAGATAAAGAATTATTCTTTTTCAGCTACTTTGAAATCTCATTATAATATTAACGTAATTCTTTAAAAACTTTTCTATTTTTGAAGTGAATGTGTACTTTTTTAGCAAATGCTGAAAAAGTTGCTCATAAGGCGAGAACGGAACAAAATTCAATACAAATCGAATTAAAACTTCAAATTCAAATGGTAATTCATTCATAATGGCAAACATGATGTCTTATAAGTGATCTACACATCTTAGCCCTTTGGTGAATTCTTTAAATAAAGTGCACCTAAATTATCTCAACTTGCATATGTGTTAAATAATGTATGTCTCTAATTGTACGTATGTGTATTTTATGTCTCTAATTGTATCGGGTTTTCGGCTTAGAAGTGGAATCCTTCCACGAATCTATAATTATATGTCTATAAGTATTGTATGTCCCTAATTGTATGTGTGTGGTGTTTGTGCGTGTGTAAATAAAGCTGTGAGTTCTCAAACCTGTGCCTCCAATATCTAATCCCAACCATACCCAGTTACAATCCGATTGCCCAATCTGCACACTACACTATATATTTATTCAATAATGGTGAAAAGTTGAGTTTAGTGTTATTTGTGTAGTAAAATTTTTCTGTAGGTATCTTTGCAATTATTTGATGGAATTTTTTCTTAATTAAGTTAACCAAAGTAAAAAATATATAATTTTATTAAAACCTGGCAAAATTAGACCATATGTTTTAGTTGAGAATAAAATAAAACTGATGATAGTGCCCATTTTCTAATTCTATTATAATATCAGAGAAAATTAAAATTTCACCTTGAATAAGTTTTTTAAATACTCTTAAAGATTAATAAGTGAGCGTTGTTAGTGTTTATTTATTTATTATTTGGAAGAATGACATTTATTGCTTCTCGAAGGAGATTTCTGTAATTAATGTCAATCACTTCGCTATCGCTGGAAAACTGAATTCAATTAAAACAAGAAAAGTCATATATTAGATTCAGAAATATTGATTATGGATTGTTATGCAATGCGTCCTCTATCCATTTCAAATTTGATGATTATATTTATAATTAGATGAATGTATGAATTTATGAAACTTTTTGTTTTTAGTTGGATTCTGAAATTTTAAAAAATACTTTAATACAAAATAGTTTAAATACATTTTTCAATGTGGAAGTACTTATAACATTTGATTTATGAAATATAAATTTAATAATGCTCGAATGTGAATAATTTTATTTTAAGCTTAATATTTCGATATATTAACATTATTCCTTAAATGTCTTGGGAATTAATATTTAAAAAAAAATTATAGGAATAAATGTTTTCTATTTGAGTGATATATAAGAGTTTAGTATGCTGGATTATAACTGGTTGTGGTTAGGTCGATATTTGAGAACTCACAGCTTTATTTACACGCACACAGACATTACACACATACATCACATATACAACCACATCACATACATACATACATTACATGTGTTAATTACAATATTTAACACATTCAAAGAAAGATGATTCTAGATTCGTGGAAGGACTCCATTTCCGAGCCAAAAACCAGAAACATAGGCTTGCGGGGAATGCGAGCCATATATTATTCTATGAATATTCTCATGCTGCGAATCTGTTGGCCAACTGACCATTTCTCCTGAACACCATAGGGGGCGATGTCGCCAGTACGTAGGAAGAATCATAGTTACATCAGTAAAAATTTTTTTGTAAAGTCTGATTCCCACATCTTATTTATGCAACACTTGCAAGGCTAACCAAATCGAAGAGCAAGAATCGAACTTTTGAATATAACGAACTGCTGTTTTTTATACATCGAGGGTTTTGTGGCACATTTTAACATTTTAAGAACAATTCATCCATGACTAAATAATGTATTATTTTCTGGGATTAATACCTTTTATTAGTTTATGAGAAAAATTTTAGAATAACACTAATAGACGATATGATTATTAATGCGAAGTGCTGGCATACGTTACCATAATTGCCATTGAGTATCTTCTTTGTCTACTGCAATTCATATGCAGTTTCTATAAGACCACGGATTATAGGATAATAATAACAAGAGAAGTTAATACTATCAATCTACAATACGATTGTCGATGGGAAGTGCTGATATGCGTTGTCATGATAGCCATTGAGTTTCCTCTACTGCAATGCATATGCAATTTCTATCAAACTACTGATCACAATCAAATAATAACAAAAGAAGCTAGTGTGCAAAAAGTGCGGAAGTTTAAATTGATCGGAGTTCACTGATTTTTTGTCCATATGACAGACACATGGGGAGCAGTTATCCCTGTATGTCCTTCCGTAATGTATTCCCATGGGCGAAGTTTAGCATACATTGGGACATCCTCTTGATGTGCTGGTCCCCAAATGAGATGTAATATGTAGTTCTAGTGAAACAAATCCCATGATGTCCCCTGGGGGATTTTCAATTTTCTATATATTTGTAGTTCCAAGTGATAATCTAAGCCAAAGTCTGCAGGATAAGTAAATAGACAAAGAATCAAACAAAAAACCCACCCACCAAAAACAGAAAATGAGCCAGTTAAAATCTAAATAGGCATTCTTTTTTTAAATAAAGTACACAAATACAAATTTCAATTCAGCTCAGTTGCTTTTATACATATTTATTTTATGATAAGATTTTTATTTCCCCTCAAAATGAAATATTTTATTACTAAATAACTTTTTATTTCACATTTTCTTTCAATATGAATCACGTTTTATGGATATTTTCCATTAAAACAAACATTTTATGAAACTATGTTGGAGACATATTTCTTTAAAAACTATGTACCTTTCATAGAAATGAGATTCAAATCAAAACTCCCACTAAAAAAAAAGAAAACAGGCATTCTACACTCGCAAGAGCTTTTATTCCCTTTAGACAAAACTAGGCAAATTTCATTTTTGGAAGCTTTGGCATCATATATTTTTCAGAAAAATCCACAATTCCAAAAAAGGGGTTTAGGACAAACATAAAATTCGCTTTATATTTCCTTCGGCATCTAGCTTATTTCATGAAATATGTTTACACTATTATAAGTCACGAAAGGATCTTCCCAGAAAATCCCACTTACACAAGGAGCTTAAAAGTCTCACTTTCCCAAGAATAAAATGAAAAAGGGTTTTCTCTTTCAGTTTTATTTTGAATGTGTGCGCGTCTTTTAAACTGGAAATAAATATCTCTTTGAAGGATAGCTCAGGTAAGGGATGTCATTTTAAAATGCAAATTGATAAAAGATATTGAAAATGTCAGCATTTATTAAGAAATAAAATTATGGGTATTGTTTACGTGAGCGGAGTTTTTCCAGTACTTGAGCAATGTTTTCGTCCTTGACTACTTTCAACGTTTCTTATTGTTAATTTTTTTTTAAATATTTTTCGCGAACTCTTCTTATTGGTTTATTTAAATTTCTTTCACGGGTTTTATATGCTTAATTTTTTTAATTTCTCTCATGAGCTAATATTTATATAATTTAATAATGCAAAATTGCTTTAAAAGATCGTCTGGTGAAAGCCAAACCAATTTTATTTCAAAATGAAAAACATTTCAAAAAAACTACATTTCATAGTTTAAAAACAAAAAGACTACAAATCTTTTGTTATTCTA